AGATTCTCATTTGACATTGAAAATACATCACTCGATTGCGTACGGACAAATTAGCTTATAAATAATGTTCTTCGAATGCACATTTTTTTTTATATAATACAATTGTGAATAGTATAATCGTATATCGTACATGTATATATAATCACACGTGTTTGTTTCATTTATTTATTTTTTAATCTTGTAGTATGCATAATCGAAATGTAATATCAAGACAATTTTTCTAACATTTCGATCGTATATGTGTACGTGTATATTCGCTGTAGTAAATATATAGATAAAATTGTAATGCCAGCTAATATGGCTTGTGAACACTTGGGCAGTTTGAAGTTTCTTGGTGAGCAGACGCCGAGTCACTCTAAACATTTATTCTTTACACTATCATTGTTTTCCCTTTAATCTTTACTAGTGAATCGTGTGTGTACGTCAAAACCAATATATTAGTTTTCGTTAATATACAAATATATATACGTAACAAATAGATATTATTTAAATAAATTGCGATACAATATGATGTCACACTGAATAGCGTGTAAACACGAACATTAAATACGAGATATTTATGTCTGGTAATAGCAGGTCAACATTTCGCAGTAACATTGTTACCATGGTAACTTTGCTCTTGCACTATTTTTTTTTAGTTAATGACCATACGAAACCGTTAACAGAAACAAAAGCTTCCTCCCCTTTTCTTTCTCTAATTGTAAGGCATTTAAATGGTTAAACTAATAACAGTTTTCGTGCAATGAATAAACGAGTCATACAAATGTTACGTTATATTTGAAGTTTGGAATATGGGTTGTAGGTTTCAAACTCACACCACATTAGGAACTTTCAATTGTACAAATGCAATTCCATTGCAAGTTATTACGTAAAATGTTTTGTCTATGACTATACACCGAGCAGACACGTTTTATTATTCACATTATTGCCATGGAAACGTTATTACTGCTGAAAATATTTTCTTAAATGAACAACCGGGTATTGAATTTTGAGCAGCGGAGCGATTGCGACAGCTCAAAATTCTTTGTCATTTAACTCTATCTGTCTTTTATCCATTCTTCTTCTTTAATTAATTACATCGAAGCATGCGTACAACGCGACGGGATTACATGCGACGTGTACAGACTTTTAAATATACAAGTATTACAGGATGGTTGAACCTCATACCTCGTGTATTAACAGTATAATTTATGGATCTCTAAAAGTGCTGGAATTTTTCAGTCAGTCGCACTTAACATAAATGACATTCGCGTTAGTTATCTCTCTCTCTCTCTATATATATATATATATATATGAATATCCAGCCAACCTGCATATCATATATGTACATGTACAAAAGACACAGTAAGTGATTACGTATTAACGGGTTAATGAAACGTATGCAAATATTTCGACTATAATGTACATTCGCGTACATCTGATTAGCATCTAATTAGAACTCGTTCTCATGGATAATAATCAACGGTAAAATAAGTAAATAAAAAATCTTTCCGCGATTAATTTACCTCTCGAGAACTTCTTTACTCGCAACGTAATATATATATCTTCAATTACACATGCTACCAAAGAACTGCTGCATCACTGCTCTGCAGTATAATCTTAATTAGTACCTTTATCGTAATTAGATTTGATTTAAAAAAAAATTAGCTAAATTTAACTGCTAAATATCCAATGAAGTACTGGATGACTGAACCTATCCTCTTGCTACTCCATCTATCATCTTGTATAAAATCCCTCCCTGAGACACAAGGATCGGTCATGGATATTCAGCAGTTAGGCCGAAGTGCTAAGCATTCTTTCTCTTTTCTCTATGAAATAAATGGCAGTTAGCCTATCTCGATCATTTCCGTGTCTTCCATGTTGCCATGCCCGACTCCATTATGTCTACAAGTTACCACCGATTGTCGATTATCAAGCCATGAATTGAATGAACACATATTTTAACACAAGTAGAATTACGTAACGCACTTGCGCACGATATCGTGACGTATAATTGAAATACAGTTGTACATGCTTACCTATGATTTTGTACATGATTATTATGTAAATGAAAATGTGTTCCTCTCGGAGAAAAACCACGCATATGGCCTCTACGAGGACTTCTAGCGTTTATTATCCGCGGCTGCGAATACGTGTCTTCCAATATACTGGGTGCTACGTAAGTAAAACCCTAGGGAATCAATTAAAATGCATTGGTTAAGAATGTCACGCATGTCTCTCATAAACGCTGAATGCAGCAACCTACTTGAAACACTCTATTGGCGGATTCACTTAGTGTGTACTCAGCAGGTGAATCTATTGGAGCAGATGTCGTAAATTTTTTATCGAATTGCGACACATCGTCCTCACTTGTTAACGTTGGTCTAAAAGGAGGCTCTAATTTGCGCGAAATTACATCGTCCCAATTGATATGCCTAAAAAATTGATGACTTTTTATCTGCTCAGCGTCAGACGGGCCAGATCCCAATCTTTGTGCAACTTGTCTCTGTAAATTAGATTAGATATGAAATAGGTCTTGTATCAGTAAATGATCGTGATCAGTTTACTCTTTTAATTCACAAAATTAACCTTCAACAATTTACGGATGAGATCCCTGGAATCAGGTGTCAGATATTGTGGAAGATTCAGCTTCCCGCGCAGAATCTTCTCAATCGTCTTCTTTCTATTATCAGATGTGAATGGTGGCTGAAAGGTAAATACTCGCGATTGAAAGGACTTGTTATATTCATCTATCATCCAAAAATGCAAATGATACTTACTGAGCCAGTAAGCATATCATACATTAAAGTTCCAAGACTCCACCAATCTACTGCCTTACCATGTCCACTTCTGGTTAGTATTTCGGGTGCCCTTTTATCCGATAGACAAATTTCAACATTAGTATTATTTGATTCTAAATTTCAGTAACCTGCAATTAGTAAAATTTTCTTACATATATTCTATAGTCCCACAGAATGTGTGAGTAACGGTGCCATCTTGTATATGCTCTTTACATAGGCCAAAATCAGTTAATTTTATATGTCCCTCTGCATCCAACAAGATATTCTCTGGTTTCAAATCTCTATATATAATTCCTTGTAAATGAAGATGTTGAAGGGCCAATATTATTTCTGATAAGTAGAAACTGTGAGAATGAAATGTATAATAATTAAATGAGTTACAATTAGTAAAGCAAAATTTTGCTAGAGTTTCACTTACCAAGCAGTTTCTTCAAGAAAAATGCCTTCATCATTTAAATGTCTAAATAATTCACCCCCGCACATGTATTCCAGAATCAGATACAATTTGCCACCAGTTTGGAAAGCATACATAAGGTCTACGATGAAAGGATGCTGGCCAAATCCAAGAATATTGTTTTTTTTATTGAAGCAAAAGATGATGATCGTACATGTATTGTATGACAAACAGATGGCAAGGAATCGAAAGAATCATCTGATTTGTCAAAATTTGTATAATTTCTATCTACCTTTACAGCTTCTAGGATATTTCTCTCAGCCTTGGTATGTGCAGTATCCTTTTGGTTTCGTATAATTGAAGCTTTGCGCAAGACCTAATTTTTAAATGCATGTAATATCAAATGAATAAAACACGTAAAAAATCAAGTTTTTAATAAATAAAATTATCTACACATGTTTTTTTCTTACAATGAAAATAAAGACCAATAAGCAATAAATATATAAAATATCAAAGTTTGTTTGCGAGAATCAAAGTAAAAACAGAGAACTTATATAATCCAGAAACGAAAATCAAAGTTTTATCGAAAATATCCTTTCACTCATATTACGACATCTGTCGATGTCGTACAATGTTGATAAAAAAGCTGTAGTGTAAAGCTGAAGAAAAAAGTAAATCTAATTTTTCGCCTACCTTCATTGCAAAAATCGTGCCACTGTCATTACCCGTTATTTTACGCACTTGAAAGACCTTGCCATAACCACCCTTCCCGATAACTTTACACAATTCGAAATCCTGTGGTCCAGCTCTTTCCCGTCCGCGATTGACATTCTGTTCTGATATCGGAACCGTTTCACAACCTTCCGAACTGGTAAACGCAACAGAAAAATTCAGTCAGCTACCGCGAGGCACGCGAAATATTTTCACGCGCAATACAATGCATAAGTATATGTATGTAGGTATACAGAAAACAGCAAGGAGAGAGCTTACTCACTCGGTTATCTCATTCACGTTCGGGTTGGCATCGTACTCCTCCTACGCGAAAATAGAAACGTGAAGGAATAGTGTGTTAACCGAACGTGGAAATAATAAATAACAATAAAGAGGCTGAAGAAATGCTCCCATGTGTACGTGCAAATGATAATATTTTACCTCTCCGATCTCGATAACATCATCGTCCGACTCGTCCCTATTTACCGTATCCGCATCGTGCAATTCGATATCGAATACTGCGGCCATTCTATACGCGGCTGAACTTAAAACACAAAAGATATCCCGCGGCCGTCGAGAACGCGAATTATTTCTTTTTGCAACAGACGACGATAGCACAACAATATTGTTACACGGTCAAAACCTTGAATTACTGCGAACAAGCTGCCCTGTCCCAAGGCATACCAAACACCCTCGCCTCACTCGTGTACACTCCGATTGGCTGCTGGAGCTCGTCATTGTCAAGTTATCGGAGTGGGAGGCTGCGTGATTCCGACCAATCGGTTTAAGTTCCACGAGTAATCGACAACTACGGAATTCTACGCATCGTTGCCAAATTTTTATTGACACACCGCGGCTCGTTTGAACCGTCAGGATGTTTCCACACTAATGAAAAAAATTGACAGTGCGGTGTTTGTTGAAATTATGCGTTATTTAGACACTAAATATTAAACATGTATGTATATATACAAACGTACAAACTACGAACTTGTTTTTAAATATGGAAACATTTGCGCATGGATGCATACTGCATATATATATACATATATATATACGTGTGTATAAATGTCGAAGAATGGTTTCATTATTAATAAAACTTGACTTATACAATAATACATATATACAAGAAAAACGTTACAAGCAATTCATTCATCATTAATTAAATAGATGCTATATATGTATATGAAGTACGTTACGTTGTGATACTTCATATTTGATTCTATTGTCCACTAGTAACAATATCCATTTCTTATCAGATCAATTAACGACGTCTGGAAATATTTCGCTTAGGGTTCGTTTGGATATCGCCATGTCGCGATGTCATGACTGATGACGTTGATTTGATACCAGTTGATACGTACTTACATACATATCTTGCAATAATCAAAGTAAAAACAGAGAACTTATATAATCCAGAAACGAAAATCAAAGTTTTATCGAAAATATCCTTTCACTCATATTACGACATCTGTCGATGTCGTACAATGTTGATAAAAAAGCTGTAGTGTAAAGCTGAAGAAAAAAGTAAATCTAATTTTTCGCCTACCTTCATTGCAAAAATCGTGCCACTGTCATTACCCGTTATTTTACGCACTTGAAAGACCTTGCCATAACCACCCTTCCCGATAACTTTACACAATTCGAAATCCTGTGGTCCAGCTCTTTCCCGTCCGCGATTGACATTCTGTTCTGATATCGGAACCGTTTCACAACCTTCCGAACTGGTAAACGCAACAGAAAAATTCAGTCAGCTACCGCGAGGCACGCGAAATATTTTCACGCGCAATACAATGCATAAGTATATGTATGTAGGTATACAGAAAACAGCAAGGAGAGAGCTTACTCACTCGGTTATCTCATTCACGTTCGGGTTGGCATCGTACTCCTCCTACGCGAAAATAGAAACGTGAAGGAATAGTGTGTTAACCGAACGTGGAAATAATAAATAACAATAAAGAGGCTGAAGAAATGCTCCCATGTGTACGTGCAAATGATAATATTTTACCTCTCCGATCTCGATAACATCATCGTCCGACTCGTCCCTATTTACCGTATCCGCATCGTGCAATTCGATATCGAATACTGCGGCCATTCTATACGCGGCTGAACTTAAAACACAAAAGATATCCCGCGGCCGTCGAGAACGCGAATTATTTCTTTTTGCAACAGACGACGATAGCACAACAATATTGTTACACGGTCAAAACCTTGAATTACTGCGAACAAGCTGCCCTGTCCCAAGGCATACCAAACACCCTCGCCTCACTCGTGTACACTCCGATTGGCTGCTGGAGCTCGTCATTGTCAAGTTATCGGAGTGGGAGGCTGCGTGATTCCGACCAATCGGTTTAAGTTCCACGAGTAATCGACAACTACGGAATTCTACGCATCGTTGCCAAATTTTTATTGACACACCGCGGCTCGTTTGAACCGTCAGGATGTTTCCACACTAATGAAAAAAATTGACAGTGCGGTGTTTGTTGAAATTATGCGTTATTTAGACACTAAATATTAAACATGTATGTATATATACAAACGTACAAACTACGAACTTGTTTTTAAATATGGAAACATTTGCGCATGGATGCATACTGCATATATATATACATATATATATACGTGTGTATAAATGTCGAAGAATGGTTTCATTATTAATAAAACTTGACTTATACAATAATACATATATACAAGAAAAACGTTACAAGCAATTCATTCATCATTAATTAAATAGATGCTATATATGTATATGAAGTACGTTACGTTGTGATACTTCATATTTGATTCTATTGTCCACTAGTAACAATATCCATTTCTTATCAGATCAATTAACGACGTCTGGAAATATTTCGCTTAGGGTTCGTTTGGATATCGCCATGTCGCGATGTCATGACTGATGACGTTGATTTGATACCAGTTGATACGTACTTACATACATATCTTGCAATCTTGCATTGAACAATACCAATTTTGGTATTAACAATTTTTACAGTTTTTATATATTATACTTCGTAAATACAGTTATAGAAAATGGTCGTACGACATCACGTCGAAGGATACGCAAATTTTCTTAAATTTATGGAAAATTTTAAATCTAACGAAACGGTCTATGTACTTTATAGCGGTAAGAAACTTCCTAACGGCAAAAGCTGGTGTTCAGATTGCGTTGAAGGTATGTATATACGGTTGTCTAATAGTAGTCATTTTCTAACTCATAACCTAAGTTTTATATGGGTGAATGTTGTAAATGTAAGAAAAACTTCATAGTATCTGAGCATACATAGTGTTCTGCAACTTTTAATCGTTTATAACTAGAAAATGAAGACTTAAATACTATTTTTATTCTCGACCTTTGCCTTATTTTGCCTTGTAGAATCACCCCTTAAAATGCCTACCAGTAGCTTCCTGTAAATTCTCTATAAAATACATTCTGTATAAACAAGACATTTTTTCTCTTTTACAGCGGAACCCTTTTTAGAAAGTGGATTCAAAGCGGCACCTGATGTAGCACATATAGTTGAAGTTGAAGTCGGAGATCGAGCATTGTAAGGATTATCATCAAATATAGTTTTTACTAATTATAATTCTTGTAAACATAATGTTCTAAAACTATTTTTATCTTCTTCAGCTGGAAGGATTGGAATTGTCCATTTAGAACGAATTCTACTACAAAACTAAAAGTTCTTCCTACATTATCAAAATGGAATACACAAAAACGTCTGGAAGGTGATCAATGCTCGAAGGTTGACCTTATTGAAATGTTACTCACGGATGAGGATGATTAAATAACTTATTATTACATGTTATACTAAAAAGAAGCCAACCATTACAAGGGAGCCATTCTGTAAGTGAAAGTAATAGCAGTATTTTGTAGTTTGTAAACGATGAGTTGTTCTTTCTAAAAGATTGTCTTTTTATTCATTTACATAAACTGAAGTATATCTCCTATCTTCCTTGTTTTTACAAGTGTTATTATCTTCTTTCTACAAATTTGTGCAAATAGTTGCAAAGTATATATGTATAAACTTTTTATATTTATAACATGTTTAATATAAATTAATAAATTCTGATAAATTTATATAAGACAAGTAAAATAAATTATTATATAAAATTTGTGGAAGTATCATGGAACAACTTTTAGTATTAAAATATAACATAAGTAACCAAAAAAGTAACAATTAACATAAAATCATTATTTCCTTTACGTACTAATCAGATTTTATGGAATGCATTTTCTCGTTGTTAATTACTATTAATTACGACATAGTCGCTGGTGCCATTTCTTCTGACGGTGGTATGATTCGCACAGAATAATGGATTTTCTTATTCCTCAAAATGCTATAAGTGTTATCAAAGATAACGGAATCTGAAACAGATAAGATAAACAGTCTCCAATGTTCTGTCGATTATTCATCCATTCCCATAATATTTACTTACATGTAGCAGGCACTTCACAGTTCAGAATCCCAATCTCATCTAATTGATGAGCGGCTACTCGCCGCATGGGTAATACTTCCTTTCGCATCCCATTATTATCTTTCTTCATAATACCAAATCTAATATCGTGATTCTCGGTTCTAAATTCCCAACTACAATCGCACGCAATTAATAATCGCGAATTAAATCGAGAGTGTTTGTTTAGGATTATACCTTAATACAGATCCCATCTCGGATGCTGGCATGTCGAGTTCCAGTTTTCCACCTTTTTTTATCATAACAGTTGTCATGTTCTCATTATCTTTTTCCGTATTGCTCGCATACATCTCAAGAGGAATTTTCCCACCAAGACAAATCTGATTACATATAACAGTTTCTTAAATTCGTACGCTTTATACATATTTAAATGTGTTATTAAAAATATTCAGATACTGTGTTGATGTCTTCACCTTGGTTCCAAGTTTCTGGTTGCCATCAGGATCTTTTAGAGTACCTCCAAAGTAGGCAGGTAATTGGTCTTTGGAAATATTGCTCAGTACTGCTGCCTGCCATTTAGCCGGATCCGCTTTATATATTTGTATCTTCGCTAAAGTATATTCATTCATGAACTTCTTAGCTACCGAGAACGCAAAAGCAAATACTTTCGGGGCTAAAAGAAATGGAAAGATATGTAGTCAGAATCGTATCGCGTGATTGTAATTACACGAAATATACCATTAACAATATAACACGTCTTTAAGATCTCCGGGTAGTTGGCTTCATACATTTGAATCAAGGTAATTATGACTTCTCCAGCTGCAAAATAAAATTAAACATGTAATTAATGAGATGAAAGTATAAGGATGCGTGAGATAGTACCTGGTCTCCAGAGATATTGTCTCAAATTGAATCCTTGCATGTCAAAAACCACGACTACTTGGCCAGCCGCGGGACCATGTTTCTCCAATTGTTCTCTGCATAATTGTAGATAGTCCTCAAGAAGCTTTATAGTAACCTTTATCATATCTCTTCTCGAAACAACATGCAGTATACCGTACATGTCGAGTGCATCGAAATATACGGCGATCACTACGAAAATATCGAATTTATTGATTTCGTACTACTTTATTATTTCGAAGTACATAGATTCTTGTGTTAGGAAAAAAAGAGTTCACCTGGAGCTCCGTCCTTATCGAAACCGCACAAACCATGTGGCAGATAATCTTTTAAGACTTGAGGAGGATCCCAATCGGCTAATTTGTCTACTTCCCATTGTTTCCGCCACTCCATAGACTAAAAGATTGTTATCTTTAATCTTTGAGTAGTTACAGTGGCTAAAAGTATTTGGTTCTGTGTGCGTGTAGTAAATTGGTGACATTAGACGTTTAGAGTTGAAAAGAGAAAGGAAACATCGTTGCAACAAATGTATTGCAATATCCGGAATCGTCCCGAAAAGAAAAAGGAAAGTAACGAGTGTGTGAACCGTGGCACTAGAACGTTTCGTACATTTTTGAGCAATATTAATTCTAGAAATCGATAATGACACGATGCGGGTAGTATTGCACCACCTTATTTCGCAATGTATGAAAAATTGCATTCGCCGTTTCAGTATTAATGATGAATTTCTTTACCAAACTATACCTGCTCTAAAGTTCGATTATTTTTACGAATCCGCAGAAAAATTCATTTGTAGATATAAGAGAGGTTTTGAATGCAAGCAAAGGCTTTACGGTGAAAGACTGCATTCGTTTGTATTGCTGAAAGCTTCTTCTGCTCCTTCTTTTCTCTTCACTTATTATTGTCAGAGTGTGAAATGAGAGAGAATTCTTCATACAATATATATGTATGCATGCATGTCTACTTCCTTTAAATATTTTTCAACAAAAATAATAATCAGTAACTACTGAGTAATGTAATTAGAATGAAACAGTATCTTACAAATTTTGTTGATTAAATGTTTAGTTAGCTAATTTTGTACGATGTATACGAAATACGATGCATAAGAAATATGTGAAAGTACGTGTGCACAAGTCCCAACCTGGTGTCCCCCTTTCGAAAAGTTTGTCGTAGAAGGACTTTTTCAAAGCGGAGATGTTTATTTGTTATTCCTTCTATCAAGCCGTACACGGCTTCACTCAGTCATGCAATCACCGCGCAGAATGAGAACGTACTAGGTAATTGTAACGCAGAAAAAATATACAGTACAATACAAATATACCTACCTCGCGTAGCATCTTTTCTGCGGCAACTGGATCCCATTTTCTTGCTGAAAATTACGACAACTTTATACACAATATTCGAATGTCGGAAATAATGTTACATATTTGAAATTGATGTTTAATAAATAATGGTGTTTCAAAAAGTTGGGCGAGTGACTCAATTTGAACGTGATTTATCGCACTGAAAAGACGTGAATCATTTAATTAACATGTCATTTCGATAAAAACAATGACAAAGTACGTATTTACGTTGATTAAAAAATTTCTTTGACTTTGAACTTCGCAGTCGAATATAAATATTGGAAAGAAAGACCGAAGACTGAATCAGCTGCACTTCGGATGCAACCAATCGTCGTGTAAATCAGTTCATAGTCATAATAAAATAAATTGGTACATAAAACTCCAATCGTGAGGATACGGTCGATAGATTTTCCATGCGATATACACGTAATGCATGTCATATTGAGTAACTCCGCGAATGGTTACAGTAAATTTCAAGAATCCATACCTCTGAGCCAACGCAGTAGAAAGTGATCGTCATGATACGGTTGCTTCAGAACGTCTTGAACCGTCCGCCTAAACTGAAACCAGAAGTTCGTATAAATTATTCGGTTAAGTAATTTAATGGGTTTTTCATTAAAGTTCAACCCTCACTTAGTACAATCGTGTTGCGTTATTATGAAATGAAATGTTCTTTTTGATGGAATCAATTCTTTATTTTATTACTTTGTCGGAATCGCAATATAATTATCATCGAGTTAAGAGATTCAATCCAGAAGTAATGTATATTGGTAGTAATCTGTATATATTAGATCTATTTATCTAAATTAGTTTGTAATTAAAATTATTTTTAATAGGAATGAATTTCTCTTAATTTTGACAATTTTTATGACATCTGGCTTTTAAGAATACATAATTTATTGGTGTCATTACTTAAGCATATACATACTAGTTTATTAAAGGACAATGTTATGTCATAATTTAATTACGTTACGCAGTAATAAAATGAAGAATGAAATGCCTGGCTTAATTATAGTCATGTGCGGTTTATGTCCGATTTATCTATCCGCGTACAACATAGAAACATTGAAAAATCGTTGCTATGTCTCTTGTACATGATTTGTAGTGAAAGCAAATCGTTTTTCTGGGAAGTGTACCGATAATTTTACGGTCAGTGCAAAAATCAGTGACCGTTTTATTTCGCGCAGTTCACAAAACCACGTGTATTTACTTTCACGCAGATTTTTCAACGGGTCAACAGAATGCAGTTACCCACAACCGAAATACAGGTCATCGATACGATAGTCCAATATATTTTTTCTCTCTCATGTCATAAAATTTCAGGTTTCAAACTCAAATTTTCAATGGTGGGGGAAAATTAAAATTACTTAATACATTCCTTATAATTATAGATATGTATGTCTACCGTGTGTCTTTCGAAACGATGCAGTTCCGTGTTTTCCAGTTCTTTGTCTCTTCTGGCGTCGCAGATAACATTGCATGACGATATTTTAATTGATAAATAAATAAAACGGAAGAGAACCAAAGTAAAAAGTACGAAGATCAGAAAATTGCGTTGTAATCTTACGTTTGTTTCACGTCATTCGACCGGTTCTTTTTCCTCACATGCCTCTCAACGCGAATAGATACCGGGAATCTATGTTTTTCCCTAACCGTTTGGACGTTTTTTATTTACTCACACTTCCCATGTAATTACCATGATTACAAGAGTCTTCGTGATCTTTGTTTCCGCGTAAATTGCTTAATTCTCTGTCAGACTAAGGTGATTATCAAGCGAAAGTTTCGCAAATTAAGTCATCGATAGAATACACATTTTTATGCAAAATTAAATATTTATGATATTAGTTTTAAACAGCAATTTGTTTTATTATTTAAGCATAGCAATATATCCTCTATTTTTGATATTCTATATATTTTTATGCATTATATGCGCTGCACATAATTAATATCCTCATTTCCTCATTCGATTTTTTATCTATTAATTGAGTTAGTAAAAAAAATATTTGCTTTTGTACATCATTGTATGCAATCACCATACATATACTGTCCTCTTGAATTTTGTGCGAACGACGACGTCGATCGATGAAACGTGTCTGATACACGTACCGTTCACCTCATCTCTTTCATATGTGGCACAATTCTCAGACCTGATGAAGCAGATCTATACACAAGATCGTATGTAAGTAAAAGCTAAATGGACGGAACAGATGATTTATTGTGAGAATGTATGCGACTAATCTCCAACAGTGTCACGTTGTAGCGCAACGTATATGCCTACACAGACTTATTTGGGATACTCATGCTGTCTGTCTATGTACTTTCGGAGAACCTCAGGGTAAAGAAAGTGCCGTTTTTCTAGAGGTGCCTCTTTACTCCTGGCTGTGAGTAAAAAAACTACAGCTACGTGTGTAGGAAGAACTATCTCTTGCGCGAAGAGAGCATCAAGGTATTCAAAGTGCAGACAGATGTAGGAAAAGAAATCGCGGTGAAGAGTTAAGGAAGAAGTGTTTTACCCAAGGGGTACCCAGTAATGTGATTATTACCAGCCAACGAGTGAAATCTTTCAGTTGATGGCACGTTTTCGAACAACGAAAGTTTGTAACGAAAACTGTATTTGCTATCGACACTGAAAAATGAAAGTTACGAGACGCAGGAAGTACTATCCTCGTCTCCGATAGTTCCTTGATTGAATATTCTGGTATTCTGATACTTCAAGTCACACCTATACGGTTCATTAGAATTGAAAACAAATTGAGCAATGATATCATTAATGAAGTTTTCGATCAAGCAATAATTTGCAAAGGATGTGAAAATAAATTTAGAATATGATAGCTGTGTTTTAAAATTAAATCTTTATGTTATGTTGGAAAATTATCAAAGTTATCGTGATTCATAGTAAAAATGACGCAAAATGGAAAATTCCACGGTACCGATGTTTATATGTATCGAGGACAGAGTTCTCGATTATCATACGAGATTCTTATATAGGGTGAGCCTCACAACATAACTTCATTAGTTTCATTATCGGATAGTAAAGTGATCGAAATATGTCATAGATTCACGATTTTTGAACTTTCAGATCTTACTTATATTAGAGGTGATGAGATTAGATTTTCGTCATTTTTTAACGCGATGAAATGATACGACAATAAAATCATTCAGATGAATAGAAATATGATAGCCATCATGAATATTATGCGTTTCAATATACACATATGTTTTTAACAATGACATATGCATGTAAATGTTTACTTGATTTTTCTTCTAAATGTGTACATGCAGAATTATTGCGTCACCGTGTTTTGTATCTTTTATTTGCAGAGAATTTTTAAAAAGAAGGAATTTTTCTTTGTTGGATTATAGATCTATTCAAATTACCTGCAACCTTTCTGAATGTTTGTAACGAGCTGATGCAATTTCATATTTCTTCTATTTACTCTGTTTTAAAATTTGCGTACGATATTTGTTTTATGCAAAAACGGCATAAGAACTTGCTGATCATTTCGACTTTTTCAGATTTAAGTTACATTGAAAACTGAATCATCATAAGTTTTTTTTTATTTCCATTTTAGTGTTATAGAGAGTTCTTACATCGTTATCGGTCAAAAAGTCAAGTAATTATAATTAATTTATTCAAATAAAGTTAATCAGCAAATTTTTCAGTTTATACAAGGCGATACAAGCAAATCTATAAAAATTTTGTAAATTAAATATGCTTATTATAATAGTATTACAGAAGTGTCAACTTGTATAAATATTTGATAATCACGGATACTGTTCGGTTCAAGAATCGAAAATAATGGCTATTTAAAAACTCATCGAATATGCAATTTTTCCGGCGTAAACCGTTCTTGACCCTGACCCTGCATATACAAGTTCTTTCTAATCGAAGCCTCGACTTACTTTCATCAGCGCAAACCGTTGATCATCTTCTAATCCTAATCCCCCTGCCTTCGACATCCCTGCTTTCCTGTTTTATACAGACTTTCGTCAATCCTGGACTGTTCTGATCCTGAATAGTTCTTCCTGGTGGGTGAACTTTCGCGTTCAGGTTTCTCCTCGTCAGTGACGGTTCTTTATTCAATTCGCTTCTAACCGATGAAACTTATCTATGTCTTGAGATGCCTGATGTCAAGTCCTTTCTTTTGTCGGCCCTTAATTTCTGTTAAAAATAGCTGAATAAGACACTAAAATTCTTGATAGCCTAATAAAAAGTATAATGATGCGAAATGTCGTTGTTGATTTAACGTAATAGATCCCGCGTGTTACTGTATGATAATCAAACTCGTTATTATGCACGCAGTGACGGGACTTGAGTTGCACTTTAGCAACAGTAAATGTTTGCTTGTCGTTCTGCAGAATTTGTATTTCCGCTGCAGAATTGTGATGGATGCTAGATTCAACGTATGTGCATTAAATTGCGGATCATAAATCAGAATTGTGGAATCCGTGGAAAGGAATTAGGATGAGCAATATAAAATTTGCCTTTCCTGGTTGTCGTGAATAGAAAGAACAACAAGAACAGTTTATAAATATATATTTTTTTTCTCTCTCTCTCTCTGAGTCATTTAAGTATCAAGATGGAAAGTAACACGAGAAATTGAAACTATACGATCCTCTCTGAATATTTAGTACCGATTCGCTACATAACTATTCACACACGGTGCGAAATTACTGTTACACTAGAGGAATAACCGTATAATCTTGTTAGAGCGAGACCGAAGTGCTTAATGTTAGTACATCATAGTACAGTACATCATGAAAAGACGATTGATGAGTGACTAAGGAGATACAGTTGAAAGTTTAGAGAGAACAAAACACAAAAGCGTTTCTCTCTTGCCGATAGTATTTTCCGATATTAAGTATTAATATAAAAAAGATGCACTGTAATAAGTATCATTTAATGAATACAATCGATAACAAACATGGAACTTTAACTCTCGCCGTTCATGATACCAAGTGTTGCAATCGAACGTTGCAAATTCCGGTTGACCGGTTCGAGCATTGCAGTCACTATTTCGTAAACGTATGTACATGTATATCCCGAACAATCAAAAGAAAGAAGTTTAAGGTACGTTACCGAGGGAAACGATGAGTCTTGAACTGTACTTCCAAGAACCTTCTTCCTTTTCTTTCTTCCCGTGTAATTGAAAAGCCGTTGAGTGACCGAGTCACGTTGTTACTTGGCGAACGAAGAATGCCGCGCGATCACGTTCGAATAATAGCGCATCGCATTTCTCGCGGTAGCCGGCTTACTTGATGACGCAACAGGTGTCTCTCACGGTCGTCGCCGACCGCGCGCTCCAGTTCGAGAGCCAATTCTCAACTAAAAATGACTGCTTCTCGTTGACCGGCACCCAAAGAATGGTACCGTCCTGTTCCGTCGCTGTATTCCCGATACCAACGCTACTACCTTGCCACAAGACGCACCCCACCACTCACCTCCTTTTGTATCCAGATTCACCCTGGCGGGGAGGACGTCGACGATGAATCCGAAAAATCGTTGCCGACTCAACGATTAGTCTTCGTTCATCGAACCATTGCTAAGACGAGGTACTAAATGAGCTCCTCCTCGTCCGCGGAATACAGCGTGCGCTGGGAACGATGCAATGTAGGATTGGATCGTTTCGAATACGCGCAAGTTTGTGAGTAAACACTGTGTGACATTGTTTGCCAACTTCTTCGTTACGAAGAGTATAGTAGAAATCGTTTTAAAACAGAAGATCTCAAATGATTCCGACGTTTTATTAAAATATATTGAGAGAATATCTTAAACTTGCAAAGATGATTTTAGTTCTCTTTTACATCTGTTGTGTCTTCACCACGAAAGTTATCTAGAAACGATAGTTAAATATTAAATACTTAAATAGTTAAATGTTAAAGAAGACGATAGAGTTATAGGTAATTCTCCTCATTAGTGGAACAATAACTCGTACGAATTTATTAATAGATCACTATTAATTGATCTATTCCTCTATAACATTTAGTATTACATATTACATATGTATCCATATACAATGTAGAATGACAGTAACCTCTTAACGTTCCGTATTCATAAACATAAGCGTTTGATATTCTGCTGCTCACAGTGTTTCTATTATGCATGTATTTGTATCATAGCCTTGATGATTTGCGGATTTTCCGCTTTCATTTACGTATGTTGATCCATAATTCTATTATAAGAAATTTTCGGGTCAATCAGTGGAGGGGAGTCTGAAACTTGAATTCTGTGCCGCCGTGACGAGTAGTACTTGTCGCACCATCTACCGTGGGGTTTCTACGTTTCGTTGCGCAAATTATTGACTACTACCTCGACTTCGATCGATCTCTCATGATTCGAGCCGTCGTTCGTCCGCGCGCCCAGTTATGGCGTAGAATGATAAAGAGAATATGTAGTTCCTTGCACGCGTTTTAGAATTACAACGGTGTCAGTCCAACTAATCACATTTCAGTTAATCAGTTTTCAAGAAAATAAAGTAATTTACGCAAACGTAAATAATTCGGTCGTGTCCGCATCGAAGAATGCGGTTCATTTGTGAACAATACGTTATCGGCTTTTTGTGCCGGCATCAATTTCGACAAGAAAAACTAACGTACGGACACAGAATACATTCACCGGTATCGAGGTTAAACAAATTCCATTGCTGTCAGAGCCAGAACTCCGTTAAGTAAGTGATTCCCTATAATTAACCTGCACATAGTTTAAGTAACAACGACTACGCGAATGTTGATTACATTTTAATTGTCTGCTCCGTTTTTGTGATAGTTAGACTATCGTTACTAGAAGCTATTTTCGCAGACTTTTATTTGCTGTGCTGTTTCTCTGATTGTTCTCGTTCCTGATATGATTTCACAAAAGTACATTTTAATTATTGACACGTTTTAATGTGTTTTGTAGAAAGAATAGTTACTTTAGTATGTGATGTATTAAAACATTAAAATTTCTCTTACTGCCCGACCGATTTCATATGTTTACGTCATCCGCACTGTCGCGTATCGATGCCTCATGTTTAATGTATAAATTATTAAATTTTGAATGGGTTTGCTGAAGTTTGCTCCATACATAAACGTTTTTCTGTATTATTTCAAGACTGTCATACACCTACATTTTAGAAAATTGTTGTTCATATCAATAGCATAGTACACGTAATTATGATTAGTTATTTTTGTTATATCTGGACTTTTGCGATTATGCAAGAAAAGTGTTACGAGTTCGTTTCTTGTCTTCGTGCGTCTAAACAATTTTACCACAAATCCATCTTTTTTTCTGGAAATATTCCAACCGGAAAATTAGTCTGGAATCCTAGAGGAAGTTATATGTATATCCAATACCTTCTCCATTTTTTGTTACGTAAGAAATCCGTGCATTCATTGTTAAGTGCGGGAAATTGAGTCAAGGCTCCAAGCGGAAACCAAGCCGAGCACGTTTATGTTTATACCTTGAAGCCACTGACCCGAAACACTGAATATTATATTAAATCTTTATTTCTTTTGATGCCAAACCAATGGCATCCTCTAAATTAAAACCAAATATAATTATAGATGTTACGTTAATTTGTAATGAAAAATCGGAACGATTATATTTACTATTCGTTAGTCATTCGAAAAGATTTTAAATTTAATTTTTTCACGTAATATCGGTCTGTACTAACAATAAACATCTCACACCCGATGGCTACTCTTAAAAGCTAACAGAATATACTAAATTTTCTCAGTCGTGAAGAGCTATGCCTTCCAGAGAAGATCGCGCCACGATATGGAACACTAAGTAGTCTGGAAAAGTTATTAAGGAAGTAGGAATGTCTGGTTCCTAAAACACCTTTCTCTCGGTCTCGACTTGCTCGAACGTGACATTCACGATCAGTGCTGCGCCATGGTTATTTGAATACAATAATACCGTACTGCATATTTCGGGTACTTTTCACCGTTTTGTCTTCAATGATTCGATGATTTAATTGATTAATGATTCGTTTTGTTTTCGCGTTGTAAGAATCGCGCCTATGTTATATTTCTGCACTCAAGAAATACAGACGTCTAAATCGGGGACAATAAATATCATTTATCGGAGTGATATACACCGCTACAGTTTAACTAGACGCCGTCACGAATGTTACATTCAGTTTTATTTCTTATTTCATTGCCGTCCGTGAAGAGATACGCTTGATTCTTGCGCTTCAAGAAATATCTTAAAAAATTCAGTGATAAAGTGGGATTATCATATTCTTGAATAAAAGACTTCGTCACTTCTACTACCTTCCATCTCAAGTGCAAACCATGTTAACTTGGTGAATACAAACTTGTGTACCCATATCAATGCTGGCTTACCAGTCTAAAGATACTCAACTCGCGCGCTGAAGCGGTAAAGATCCAGAGAAATAGAACGCAGTTACAGGTAGAAGAGTCGAGGCAGTACTTTCATACTTCATGTAACTTCATTTTTGGTTCTTAACAACGAAATAACTATCTATCGATCTAATCATCAATTAATTGAAGCCACTGTTGGATAAACATGGAAGCACAACGACGACCTGAGCATCGCTCTTGTAAGTGATCCGCTGAATTGATATTTCATTCCCACGCATTTAATTATGTGTATGGCGATTGAATCTGCATACGGTGTACGAGTGTACGAAAAATATGAATGTGACTCACGCAGAATATCAAATGTATTAAAAGTTATCGAATTTCCTGGAACATAATTCGGATTTAGTAATTTTTAATCCCTTAACTCTAAATGAAATTTTTTGTTACTCGTTATCTCGACGTTGATAAATTTAATTTTATCGCTTTTATGTTACGCATATGTTTTTAATAGTAATATTTTCAATTGTTTCCATGCAGTTTAATATGCTATGACTACAAAGGCACCTCCCACTATTTGCACTGTATCGCAAACAAAAGATTTTATTCACGAGAAAACGTATTCATGTAAATTTTTGTGGAAGCTCCAATTTATTCCAATTTGTTGCATCTCGTAAATCACATCATTGGTGTACACATGACAGCCACTCGCTTGGCAATAATAGCAGGATACACACCGCGCGAATAGTCTGTTTGTTACGAACACGCGGAGATTTCATTACTAATACTAACTTTTGATATACCTTAATAGTCGTGGTACCAGTTCACAGGAATTATTGAAGGAATGTGTTTGCGGACAACGTATACTACATATTTTAATTGCAGTTCTAGAACAACAGTGTATTAATGGTATCGTAGTAAGAGACTTAACAGTTTAATGCGACTCGTTGTAACAATTAATCACACTTCAGTGCGCGTTATTATCTACTACTACTGTTAAGTCCGTCAAATGATGAAAACATTTTACTTACTCTTGTAAAATGTTCTAAAGCTAACTTAATAGTCTTATATAATGAAAGTTTATAAAAATTTATAAAATGTATGTAACGATTGTTCTTCCATTTCGTTTGATATCTTCTAAATTATATGAAGACGAGTACATACTGTCCTCAGGCTTTCCTCCAGGCAATTGATTTTCCTGTCACTTACTTAGTGTTACACGTTTATTTACATTTGCCCCGTTCCATGATGAATCAAGTTTATCTTTCGCTGCAACGTCCTCCGCTGTAAATCAAAGGTTCTCCACAGAGGCATTAACAATTCGCATAATTTAGATATCAGTGTGTACCATGCGGAAATTCTAAACAGTTATATAAAAGGATTTTACAAATCTACGGTATTTATTGATGCGAGCAGGAAAAACCACAGGATGTTCAAAGGATCGAGCATGTATTTGTTTATGATCGATGCATCTTTCTACGCATGTTCGAGCACCTGACATCGGTTAAACCAAGGCAAAGCTAGAAAATAAGCGAACGGTTTCCTCAAAATTTCTATCGTAGGAACTGGGTTTTAAAATAGAGCGAGCGGTAACAGCAGGTATGATAGGAGTGCCCTGACCATGACTGCGTGTGAGGCCTTTCCTTTGCGATAGAACTGGCCACTGTTCTGGATTCTTGCCACGACGAAAAACCTATAAAATTATACTTACCTACTAACCACGACTAGTTTGCGTTTCACCTAACGAGAACTCTTAAGAACCTGCGATTTATTTTTTCCTCACATTTCGTAATAACACATATATCTACGATTTCAGATTTTTTAAATGCCTTTGTAAGATCTGAGAAAAAATTTGTCTGCTTTCCAGATTCAACTATGTATTAAATTTACTTTAAAAAATAATCTTTTGGTATCGACAGTTGGCGTTCATTTTAAGGTAGATAAATGTCTGCAAATATTGTGTTACGATATCAAAAAGTGCTTATGAATTAGTACGATAGCTATTTTGTTTCGCCATCTGTCATACTTCCAGGCATATACCGTATTAGGCACTTCTTCTCTGCGCACTTGCAGATGCACGTTTATCTTCATCGATATTTTATATCTTACAACTACCATTATTGTTAAAACAAACGCGAAAAATATTAAACAAATAAATTATTTCAGACATTGATAAGCAAATCATTTTTAAAATACGTGTAAATTTAAAACTAATACACACGTAACGTATAACTGATACAGAACTTTCTGCATTCGTTGGCAATTAAAACTAAAAGCATAATTATGGTAATGCACAACTGAAGTTACATGTGAATTTCATATGCAAGTAAAATATCATATTTATTAAAATTATTAGGGGGTGGTCAAAATTAATGATAGTTAATATGTTTTATAAAAGATGATCAAAATGAACTGTACTTTTGCATTATTCTATCGCAAATTCAGCTCGTAGATGGTTGAAAACCATCGGCTATCGTCGGCTTGCTTCGTGGTCTGTCGCGAACACACTTGCTCTATGTTTGTATCCTGTCCGGCGTTCTTATTTAGTTTCAGTAAGTACGCTGCGGTGGCTGGTGCCTATGGTGTCTTTCGCCGCTGTCATTTAGATTTAGGTGGTACTGTATGAGGTGTTTCGATATCACAAATATTAACTTTCGCGATGTATAATTGAATATAAATATTCTACTCTTCGCGAAACATTTCCTCACCGAATTCCTTTTACTTATGTCTGCTTGTGTGAAAGTGCGTGGTGCGTTGATCTCCGTGATGGATTCACGCGTTTGTTCGCACACACCTCCAAGCGGCCTCAAAAAGGTAAATATAATCGCTATTTAACAGCCGCTCCTTTATATTTTAAAAAAAACATAACCTGTACTACGCTCATATAAATGAATCCAGCTTTAGCCGAAAGTTCAAACGAGAAATTTATGATTTTTTTGTCCATTTTTTAATCTCATGTCATTACGATTGCGAATGTAACTCTTATGAAATTCTTTCACTTCAGTCTGACAACGAATGTATATAAGTAACATTCTTTGTAGTCACGACTGACTCAAACATGTTGCCGAAACAGTCCCAGCAATTTGTTAGCATCGTGCATAGCGTACGAACTAGTATTATCATTTTTCTTCACAGAAACAAATATCGTATTCCTTTAACTGCTTCAATCGCGATTTAATTTCGTACGTGAGCCGTAACAGTGAGCACTCTTACGCATTCTGCGGTCTCTGTATTTTTAGTGATATTGGCACGTATCTCTGTACGATATTAGCTGCAACACATTCAAAGGTAATGCAGATTAAATTGCCCGTTATGGGTTTCTTCTGCGAGAAATGCTAGATCTAAGGCGTACGCAGTATACTATTTTATCTTGGCATTTACAATGAACCGCAATTAAAACTGGAATTTTTCTCTATTCTACCTAGTCGTGTATTTATATCTGCTGCCATTTGTGAATCATTTCGTGCAATGTAATTAGGATTCACCTGGTTTCTACGTCACAACCAAAATAGGTATTTATACGTATATGAGAATGGATAAAAAGGATAAATTCACAGAATATAAAGTTTTAATCGAAACTCCTTTTAAGCGTACATTTGTTCAATACTGTCTTAAATATTATATGACTAATGTATTCTTTTGTCCGATGCAATTTCCGTCTTTTTTCCAGAAGAACTGGTTTGTAATTACTTATACTTTGCTTTATTCATCTCATTCTATATTTGCGATTAATGGCTATGGATATTTTATACATATACATATAGACACTCTATTATATTTATAATTATATAATGTTATTGTAATAACTTTTATTAAAGAATGTATTTTTTTATTTGTATGGACTGAAACATTCTGTAAAACATATTTCAACATGTTTATCTTACATGGTAAAAAGCATTGTAAAGAATCTCTCTTTCTCCGGATATTTATCTTTGACCAGTTTATTATTCTTTCTTCACTTGACAGGAATAGTTATTTAAAACGTTGTTACTTAAAACTCGCTAAAATGAACTATCCTTAAAAATTACGACGTACTAAAAAATGTTGCCGGTACTAATCAACGATTACCTCGTTCTTCATCTTCAACAAATAATTAAATGATTTTAGTGTAAATTATTTTTATTTGCAGTGTTATTTACTTTTCTAACTACCGATGTATTTTTAAGAATGTTAAAGTCGTGAGTATAATGACCGTAACGAAAATAAATGTCAATGACTCACTTCGATTGATAGTTATTACGAAATAGGATCACAAGCGACGGTTTAAAATCAGCAAATCGCAGGAGACGTATTATTTGCGCAATAGGTACCGATGGAACTTCAACGTTATGCGTATGCAGCACTCTTATCATTCGATTGATCGATCGATATTATATAAACTATGATAATGATAGCAATCAGATTTTAATTATTTTTCAATTTTTCCTCGTCGAATATATACAGATATAGTAATGCTGAATTCACAGAATTACAAACAAGTTTTCTCGTTAAGAATCACTGATATAATGAACTAATCTCAAATTCGAAAGTGGTTTCTCTAAAGAACGTTTTATTTGTCCCTTTTTTTAGCGTTGGTCAGAGCCGCGCAAGAATCGAGCCTGATGTCCATATGGTCGACAAGTACTGGACGCAACTCAGTGTTTGGGGCGGAGGGTGGAGCGGTACTCCCCACCTCGCATTTGCCGATTCACGTACACGTGGCACGCACACATCTGCGCAACGCTGACGACCACTGCTTCCACAAGCGGTTTCACGACTGTCAGGTCGGTGTCGGTACTGTTCTTCCCTTGTCTCTTTGATCTCCTCGCAGTTCGTTTCCTCTTTATCTCTTTGCGCGTCACGTTTAGATGTTACACCGTTGTTGCCTTGTATTTTTTTCTCGTTACACGCCATTTGTATGTTCGATTCGTATACGTATACTGTTTCATTTATTAATTCATTATTATTTATTATTGTTATCGTTACGAAATTGTTAACTCGCGCGTGCACAGTGGACGCCGGTTTGTTTTGATCCAATTCTAATAACACTCACAGCTGGCGCTTATAAACGTTATCGTTGAAATATGAATACTGATAATCTGCAGCCACAGCGTAAGAGAACTTTACGTGATGAATATTCTTGAAATAAGTATGTAATACATTTCTCTACAATTGTATATACTTATATGAAAAATTCATAACATTTTTCACGAGTATATATTACCATCTTTTAAATTAGTATTTTTAATCTCTCTGTTACAAATACAGTTAAGGCTTGAAACAGGAATACTTGTGTATATACTGTGAGAAGTGATAGACAATTATTTAGAGAATTGGCTTCATTATACACAAATGTAGACGTTGATTGTATTTCTGTTTGTGAATCATCTTGATGTTATGTACAGTGTACATAATATTTTGTGGCTTACGAGATATATCTAAGAATTAAATCATGTAATGATATTTAATTAAAGATTAGCTGAAAGTAACGAATAATTAAATATAAAATACAGTCAATTACTCATTGCTTCATAAGCGAAAATTAACATTATACATATACATATACATGCGTACATCTTTGTCTCTCGATTGAACTCTAACAACTAGGATCAATTCCCTTGTCACTCGTTTTTATTCGGATCGGGTAACGGTCGAATAATTAAGAATGTTTGATGATGACGATTTAAAGAAGACTTTCGTGATATCGTATTCACACAAGTAAAATAATGTTGTTCATTTTACGCAGAAGTCCGGATGATCTCGATCAGAACATGTACTACGTACTATGCTGTGTTCCATCATTGCTTCCATTGAAATGCAGTATAATTTCCATCCCGCAATTATATAAACAGGATAATTACAACCGCTTCTCTGATAGTCGGTCTTAATTACGTATGCACATATGCACACGAAATATTAACACCTTGCGTGTCAGTAGATCGTGACGCGTAAAGCCTACGTAAGTATATGTATAGAAACTGTTAATGTGCGAATCGGCAACCAGAGGAATTGACTTATCATACATCCTGTACACAATGTCAACTGCAATCACTCAACAAAAAATGATAAGGTCTATGAAATGAATAAGTATAGGAATTCGTTATTAGTTATTTGTATTATTCCTTATTGCTTGCCAGATTTCCCGTGGGCGCATCATTAGTCCATCAACGCATACTTAATCGCCTGCTGCACTATGCATAAGTTTTTCATTAATTCCCCTTGTTATTTGTTCCGTTCAGCACCCGTTGGTTTTTTGTCCTACGCAGAACTTTTGGCAAGTTCTCCCGTTGGCACCGACGTTGCTATCCACTTTCGGTACGTGTCTTTCTTTCTTACGTGCTTGTATAGTCGAACGCCAATTTATTAGTTGAACGCTAATTATCTCTAGGCGTGCAATTACCTCGGGTATACTTCTATTTTAACAGTGATTTCTCTGTTCGGATACATATAGCACAAACGAAGCCATTGTCTTAGATTC